TTGGATGGCCTGCGGATGAGTACATTCTCAGCCAATTTTAATTTTTAGGTGAACTATTCCTTTAGATCACAGCATATCATGGACTTATTGTTGGTTTGATGGCTTCTGTCCACTCTTGATCCGCTAAGAAAAAATCTTGAACATGGTGAATTTTCTGTGATTGTGCTTCAGGAAATCACTCAAATTATAATACCGATCAATGCTTTAGCATTTACCTGCATTCATTTTCCCCCTCGTTGATCAATGAGCCATCTCAAACATATTAATGTGCAAAATCAGAAGTGGCTGAACTCAATACTGCATTCGAAACCACCAATTTCCTCGCTGTATCTGAGAAGCCTCTCACATGTATTGTGTTTGCCGCAGTGCTCTAAGAACTACGTCCCTGTGTGTGGTACAAACGGAGACACCTATCAGAACGAGTGCTATCTGAAACAAGCAGCCTGTACCCAGCAGAGACCCATCTTTCTGGCCTCTGAGGGCTCCTGCTATCCTGGTAAGTCCAGACCATCTCCTTCACTTGTGGATCTCAAGATGGCGCCGCAAATGGCAGCCAGGACGCTGAGCTCCGCGATTCTTCTATTGTTTTTGTTTGTTTGTTCTGTTGATTCTGATTCACTTCCTGAAATGAAAACCTAACATCTTCTGCCTAAGTTCATGTTACACTGACTGTGCTCGTTTTATTAGAACAAGTTTCAAGCGTTTTTTTAAGATGCTGCAACAATCAGCATTGGTCTGTGATGGGGATTTTTTTGGGGTGGCTGGTGTGAATTAAGTTCAAAAATAAAACAAAAATAAAACATTAATAGTTAAAAGTTGGCTATATATATATATATATATATATATATACAGGCATTTTTTGACCCAACATTATGAATTTCAGGGGCTTTTCTGTCATTTTCAGTGACATTTTCCATAATGTTGGAACATTATTACATTTTGTACATTAAATAAAATACATTTTTATATATTTATTTGTATATGAATGATGTACATTATCAAGATATTTATTCGCATAAAAGTTAATTTCATATGATTTTATTTAGACTACATTTTTGATAGGCCTCTAACAGGCCACTGGTGACAAAATTGGCATCAAGAGCCATAAAGATGAGCCACTTTTACAAATTAGATCGATTTTTCTGAGGCCCAGAAATGCTATTTTAACATCCTGTGTATAAGCAGAAGCTTTATATTACAGACTCTAATGAGCAGTGTGATCTGATACATGACAACCTTTATTTTTAGCTCTAATTAATCTCATGATTACTTTTCATCCACAAATTACATGCCATGGCTCATAATAATTTGATATGCATGTTACTGATACATAATACAAAGACTATGCACTACTGTGGTGCTGCTATCACTGTATGAACTCTTGACATATATTGATATATTTTATATATACACACACACACACACAATTGTGGTCAAAAGTTCACATACACATACACTGACCTGAATAAGATAATTCACATAAAAGATGTTTACATATAGTCCACAAGAGAAAATAGTAGCAAATTAAATTGATCAATTTATAAAAATAATTACATACGCTTGATTCTTAATACTGTGTTGTTACCTGGATGATCCACAGCTGTTTTTTTTTTTT